GTGATGGGCACAGCGGTGATACAGCCTCAAACACAGACGGTGATGCCCGAAAATATTGTCTGGAAGTAAAACCCCACAGACAGGTGTCTACAGAGCAGGTATTTGTTTACCGCAGTGCTGGAGGCGAGGGGGATTGCTCCACCTCACTCGCTCACCCTTATCAAGCGCTGTGGTTTATTTATACAGTGAGTATTCCTTGATGTTGTTATGGTATTTTAACGTTATCATAATACATGATGGAGCTAATTTACATAATGTTAGCTAATGGTTATAAAGTTTTTCTCTCCCCCACTTTTCCCTCCCCAATTTAGGTAGTCTTGGGGGTCTTCTTTGATGAAGGCTCAAGGTTTTTCTCGCATCCGAACTTCCCAACTTTGTCTAAAGAGCATGCACAGTCACGGTGTTCCTTGGTCTTTCTGGATCTAACCAGACAAAATTCTTCATTTTGTGGCTAATTTGCTTTCCATTTGCCAATTTCTCATTTGTACATCCTCCTGCTCCCCATTATAGCTACACTTGTCTGGTTTTGAGATTATTCACCTGGCAAGTTTGTTAATTTAAGCATTAAGCAACTATCTAACCATATACTGGCTATTGCATTCATATACATATTCATAGCATATGGAAAGTTATGATTCAGGTTATATAGATATAGAAAGTTATAATTCAGGTTATATAAATATACAAAGTTACGATTCAGGTTATATTGGTGTCTTTTACCTCAAGCTATATAAGCATCTTGTAACTTTGACCCAAGTTATATCAGCATCACCTTTCTCCACCTCCTTGGTTAAGACCTTACAGGGAAGAGGGGTGAAAAAAGCAAGTCCCCATTTGATCTTCAGCTGCTTCTTCAGCTTTGAAGTGCTGCAAACACAGCCTTAGAACTTGTCTGTCTCTGTCTTTGATAATGCCACACAGCTGAGGAGTTTTGTGCTGTAACACCACTCAGGCCATGAAGATGCCAGGGAAATGCTTGAAGTGACACATCTGCTTGAAACACCCGGGTTTTTAGGGTGTTTTTACACTTGAAGGAGCTGTCATGCTCTTATTTATAATGCAGTCTGATACACAAAGCTTTTGTCAACGTTATTTGCTTCATCATTCTGTGGAGCCTCTTTAGTTTTTCTTTTTTTTAAACCTCTGCAGAGTTTGCTGTTTGCAGTAATACTGAAATATCCACGTGAAGAGCTGCCTCCCTGTGCCTGGAATCCCACAGGGCTGGGGAAGAGGATGGCAAAGGGAAAAGCTCCTTCCTTGTGCCATTATTCAGCACCTGGGAAATAATCAACATGCAATTATTTGCCCCTGTGCAAACAGATTGCACACACCTCAGCCAAGGGGATGAAGGGGAAGGAGTTTCCTTCCTCCATTCCCAGGGCTGCAGGGAATTGGAAGCCTCTCTTTCCTCTCTGTTTCCCCAAAGCAGCCAGTGCAGTGATGGCTCCAAGTTTACAATTCCATCCCTGGCTTGCTCATATTTAGCAGAGAAACTGCTTTTAACGAGTATCAAGATTTTTCCTTGGTAGGTTCTGGGAGGAACAGGAGCTCACGCCCTGAGGTGACTCTTAGAGCTAGAACGCTCCTGGCTCACTGACAGGGGAGCGATAGTAACTCAGAAAAATATTTTGAAAGGTGGTTTTGAAGCCCAAACATGCAAGATAAGGAGTGGAGAATGAGATAGCAGAGCTAAAACAAAGGCATCTATCCTGTTTGTACTGCTAATTAACAAGCACCAATTTCACCCTAATTAACTCTGAGTTGGAGAAGGATTGAAGGCCAGGGGAATGCCTGGAGCAGGGAAACCTCCCTTACCTGAGCCCTGCCCAAGGGCAAGAGATCCTTTACTCACACCAGATCCTTGGTAAGTGACTGAGCAGCTGAATTTGTACTAATGAATAAGTCATTAATAAGGTGAACTCTGAGCCTTGGTAAGCAACTGTTAAAACTTTATTAAATTCTTTGAACTCTGTCAAATTGTTCATCTCACTCAATAAAACATTGCTGCTTCTCTCTTTAGAGTGAGGTACATTCCACTCAGCCACAGCATTTTTCTTTCACAGCAAAGAATAAAATAAATCTCATAATGGAAGTAGAAGTTTATTTCTACAAGATCTACTTTACAAACTATACAACCAGGCATCATCTGTGCTCTTGCCTGCACACAATTCAGAGCATCTCCATTTACCAGAAAAAAAAAAAAACCAACCTTGAAAAATACAAATTTTTTAGATTTAGAAATTCAAGTTTTTCAGCTTCTAACCTTCAAGCCCATGAAACAACACAAAGACCTAAGTGGAAGTGGTGTGTCTTTCCTTCCCCCATCCCATTTCAGCTTTTGGCTGGAAAACTTTTACCCTCAAAGCAGTGGCTGACTGCAGGGGAGGTTGTGCCTGTCTCACAAAAATCCCAGTGCTTTCTACCTGCAGAGAGACTAAAGCCAGACACTTAAATATGGGAAGTTTTCCTTTAAAATCCCTTGCTTAAGTCACCTTCCAGATCTTCCAAAAAGGCCTTGATTTCAAGCTTTGTAAGTTCTAGATTTTTAATAGTGATTACTAGAATTAAATAGGGAAATTGTCACTTACCAAAATGATCCTAAAAAAGCAGGGACTGAGTCTTCTTGCTTTACTATCTAGTACAGCATATGAGAAATATAAACAAGCCTTACAAAGAATTTACATTGTAAGGTATTTTTGGGACTTTTTACTTTAATTTAGTAAATTTACAAATAATCATTTCAGGCAGAGTTAAAAGTATCATACAAAACATGAGTACAACCTCCATCTTATTGCTTAATTTTCTTATTCAAATGTAGAAATTCTCCTTGGAAAAATTAAAATATATATATAATATGTGTATATATATATACACTGTTTTGTCTCTGTATTCCAAATATTAATTGCAACCTTTTATATTACTTGATTTGGTTAGCATTAAATTATGAATAGTGATGGACAAAAGTATTTTTTCCTCTAGAAGAGTTGAGAAAAGCGTAAGTCTGCATCAAAAATAAAATCAGTTGCTTTTAAGAATAAGGTATCTGTTTAAAAAAAACTTTAAAGTTGTGCTGTTTTCATCTACACAGATGTCTGAAGACTTGATTATTACAGAGTTTTAAAAGCAAACTGAAAACCTTTTTCCAATCCCATGAATTAAAAAAAAATAAAGTTATCAAGACCAAGTTCATTCATAAAAGGAAAACAGCAGCTGTCAACTCCACAGAAAAAAAGTATTGCGAGACATTGAGAAAGCAACTTGAATACTTACATGAAACCTTCTAAAACCAAGGCTGAATTAAATAAAATGTGGCACAAAAGCTCTGTTTAACTCCATCTTCAAGATGAAACAAGACAAACAGAGGTGCCCATCCTGACTTTTGCCATTGTCAAGAGCCTGGGTACTTGCAGGTGGTGAGCTGCACCCACCTTTCAACCAGAGCTGTTTGCAGTTAAATATGCAAATTAGGCATTGCTTTTAGGATAATCAGTCAATCACTCTCTTCACTGGGGTCAAAAATGTCACTGAGTCTGAAAGCCTTCTGCTGCTGACTGGCTGCTAAATTGTCAAAACTACAGCGATTCCTCTCTTCCCTTAACTTTTCTTCAAGTTCTGGGAGCTTCTTTTCATACAGATAGTCAATAATTTCTATGAGAAAAAAAAAAAAAAGCAAATTTAATTTGATCTGTAGAGGAACAGCATCTCACAGGAATTCTGTTGTCAGTGTTAAATGCACAAAATCTGTGTATTATTCTGATCACAGGGGCTGCAGGGAGATTAGGCATAGCACAAACGTGCAAAGAGAAATTAAAATGCACGGTCTTAAAACTTTTCAACCCAGGCTATTAAAAAGAACAGGTTCATAAACACTTGCACGAAGAGAACATTGAAAGTTAGAAAAAAAGCATTTAGTAAAATAAGTATAAACCCTAAGATTTTAGCCAATTTGGAAAAATTGAACGAGAATATGTAATCCTCTGAGATTCAAACCACAGCCTTTAGGAGCACATAAATACATAGGAGCACATAAATACAGCTGATATACTGACCAGAAAAAGTCTTTCTTTTCCATAAAGGGACAAAAGACACTTTTAGCCTATAAAACTTTAACTGAGCATATCTTCTAGGAACATCTCTGCAACAAGAAGAGTTCAAAGAATTAGTGGTGCAAGGAATTATCATAAAGCTTAATTCTTACTGAGTTATCCATTCCTGAGAGTGATACCACTCAAACCCTAGCTTAGATTTAGTTGGAAATGATGGAATTCAAATAATTATTAACCCATAGTATCAAATCATACTTTTTCCCATTAAGTGATTAACATCTGGAAGCACAGATACAAAACACTCCAGTATCTAGAAGATGAAGGGTTTCAGATCTTGGCTTCCTGCTCAGTGCTATGCAACTGTAATGTTTCCAAACTGAACATTTCCTACAGTTGTAAAAGATACCAGAACTTGGATTCCTCTGCTTTCACTACCCTTTGTATCCATCAAAAGAGGGAAGGGAGATTTACCCAATAGCATAACTGAGTTCATCCCAGTTTACTTCACTGGCATCCTCTGCTTTTGTTTCATACAACCTGTGGATGTGAGACAGAAGCAGTTAGCAGGCAGAACTCAAGACATCATTCACTGATCCCAGCTCCCCCAGTCAGAAATTACAAGACATTTTGTCCAGAGCAAGAATGATTACAAAACATATATCAAGCTGCAAGCAGGTTATTCTCATCCTGCCAACTTTTATAAACACAGCTCAAACAGTGGGAGATAAAAAACATCCCAGTGCTCAGAACTGTACCTTTTAATAAGAGTGATCTTGCTCTGTAATCCATTGGTCCCTTTGTGCAACTGGTGCCCTTGGGTCAACATCCTTGTTAAAATTGAATTCCTTTGAAAACACACAAAACCAGGTTTTTATCATTTTGAGAAATTCCAAGCATCAAGGTGCTGCTGCTGTCACAGAGAGGCAGTATTCTGCCAAAGGACAGGGGGATTGAAGGGATACAGTCACCAATGGAAAGAATGGTTTTATTTTACTATGACTATTAAGGCAACAAAAAAGTAAAATCAAACATTCAATAAAGCTATATACTTATTTTTAGCAGCAAGCAAAAATAAGCAAGAGTGCACTAATCATTCATATATGAGAGAAAGGATAGTGATTGACAAAGATACATCACAAATTGCCTCAATGTTTTATCATCATCCAGATCCTGTCACAGGCAGGACCTGGAGAACCCTTCCCAGCAACTGGGAAATCCTCCACAGTGTGTCCACCCCTAGGTGAGGTCTCCAAATTCACCCCAAAACTGGGTCCAGCTTTTATAGGCCCCATATCAGCAAGTCCAAGTGACTTAATTATATTTTTAGCAAAGAAACACCTGGATCTGATGGCACACTTCCCAACCAACAGGGGCCAAGGCTTGGCCAGGGCCCAGGCCTTGGCTGGGAGGGTTTCCCTTAAAATACCCTACAAAGAAACTGCTATTCATGTCAGTTGGGAAAGTTTCTTAAAATAATACATTTCCTGCAGATAACTACACAAGGTTATGTGAAAGTTTCTGAAGCAGCTGGTTTGGTGTTAAACAGCTGGCATAAGAGTCTCAATCATCTATTTTCAGCCAAATAATACTGCTGCTGTTAGTCATAATGGCCAGGGTTCAGAATGTAAGTCAACTGTGCTGCTCAGGCTTCAGCACACCAGGCAGAAATCAGGCTTTGCTATCACAGCAAACAGAAAAGTTGCTGCAGCTAGCAAAGAGTTGTCTCAGACACTTCTGGAATGCCTCTTCTGCACTCCACAATCTCTTACCTGTCCTACCAAAGGATCATCATGGTACAAAACCCAGGTTTTGCAGAATAAATACATTCCAGAACACATTTTACCAAAAGATCCTACCAAAGGATCATCATGGTACAAAACCCAGGTTTTGCAGAATAAATACATTCCAGAACACATTTTACTGTCTTAGTTTAGTCCAAGCCCTCACCATTTCTGTTTGCACTGTCTCCAATATCGACTCCCCACTTTGGTTTCAATCTCAGTCCACGGCAGTGGCTGGTGCAGCTGCTCACGGTCAATCCAGAGATCCCCATTTGACTCTTCCAGGGAGGAAAGAGAACTTGGATTTTCTGTTCTCAGTTTTCTCCTCATCACATCCTTCACTGCTTTTATTAACTTCTGGGTTTCTTCCTTTGTCCAAGGACCATAGTTGACAGCTAAAATTGAAAACCCACCAGGTTAATGCATAATTTATCATAAATGATTAGGGAAAAAAAGGCTAAAGAGCAAATGTTTCACTTTGCATGATTTTCATTTATAGGACCAACTTCTTAACACATGTCCTAGAAACTCTTCTGTGTACCAAGCTTTAAAGTTCAGCCTAAACACTAAAGAACAGTCTGATCCCCAGTTGTTATCTTTTTAAACCTGGCTGCCAAATTCCTTCTGCCCTCCCCATGAAATCATCTTTTTTAGATGTCAGTTCTGTTAATAAAGAGTTATATTTGTTTCACGTTTTCTCCATTTTCTTTCAGAGATCTTTCTTATCCTTTCCACTTGAAAATGCAATCAGTGGTGTGAAGAAGAGGACCATCACTGGAAATCAATTAATTAATTAAGAACCCCACACTTGAAGGACTTTTTCCTTATGTTTAGGGTACCTACATTGTACAGTTCAAATAAAGTTCCACAAAATAAATTGTTTTTCTAAAAATTACATACCTGACTTGATTTCAGAGTATTTCATAGCAACTGAGAGGTTGGAACGGGACATCAATTCAGAAATCTTCTTCCAATCATTGCCATGCAGAGCTTGATACTTCTTTAATTGTTCTTTTTCTTCTATAGTATACCTGGTTGAAGAAATGGGCACAGCTTCAGCTGTGAATTCAAACCATTTCAATCTCTTAAAGAGCTGTAACATCTGCAGGTGATCAATGGTAATCATCATTATCACTTCAAGTCAGTTTTAGAACAGAGGAATCAATAAGGCAAAATATCAATTAAGTCACAGTAACTGGCACAAATGGGAGAAATTATCTTCACTTGAATCCACTTTTAATTTACAAATAATCAACACAGACTGATACTAGCATTCAGAAACATTTTTAAAGTATCCCCTTACCTTCCTTTATAATTATTTGGGTCAAACATCTTCCTTGCTCGATAATATATCAGCCTCCAGGGCCTGGGTATGCCTTCAGCTGGAAGGTAAAGGATCATTTTTAACAAACATTTCTAACAGTGGTGAGGCCAAAATGAAACAAACCCCAAAACCCAACACCAAGCATTTTCATGACCGTGCTGTCAGCAACAGATTCTTTCCACTCACCAGCTACAAACTGCATGGACTAGCTGTGCATTTGATCCAGGTGTGATTAAAATTTAACTGGCATGCTGAACACTCCAATTAAAACAGAGACATGAGACAGCCACAGGCAGGAGCTGAGGGGACCCTGGGTGCTTTACAAACTGTTCCAACTGGGAAATGCAGACACTGGGGGCATCAGCAAAAACCAAGTGAAGATCTCTGCTGCAGGGAAGATCTAGAGAGACCAAGCCCTGGGAACACACAACCTCCTTGGCCAGCAGTGCCCAGCAGAGGGGACTGCAAGGCACAGAACACTGATGAGATTTTCTGCCAAATCTTCCCAGGAACAAGCTCCCAGACTGGGATGAAAGTCAATATCAGGGAAATGTGCTGATGCAGAAGGAAGGAATGTGTGTCTGAAATAACCACAGAGGAACAAATCTGTGATTTGATCCCAGTATCCTGATCCATGACAAGTTATTTACTCAGCCTTGCCTGAGGTGATGTCACCAAACACAGAGTAAAGCTCCTGGTGCACTGAGGAGATCCCCAGGTCTTGGAAAACTGGGATGGCTCAGTTTCTTCCACCCCCCCTCAGTCCTATTTATTGGACACAATGTCAGACAGGACTTAATCACTCACAGCTGCCATTAGTAACCTTAATTATAGTTTAGCAAATAATGCACTTAAAGCCATAAAGCCCAAATGCAAGTCTGGAAGACTTTACTGGTCTTGACCATATTTTATCTCTAAACTCTTCCTATTTGAGACCAGATAGTGAGCACAGTGGACTGTGCAGATTATCAACTACACCATGTCAGCAGCCTCTTTTTTTACCAAATTGAGCAACATCAGTGCTTTTCAATAAAAATTATTTTACAGAATATGCCATAATATCACCAGGCTGTAGAATGCAACATTCAGCTGTCTGAGGATGAACTGAAATACTCACAGATTTTTTCACAAAAATTATGTTCTATTTTCAGGTGATGGATGGTGTCTTTATCTTCTGGATACCTTGAGGTAAACAAAAGTTTTTCAGCACTGTCTATTCCAGTAAGTGCTAAGAACTCTTCAATGTTTTTCTGGATTTGTTTATTTTCCTTCTGGGTAAATCTGCCAAACTTGACAGCCATACCTAAAATATAGAAAGGTTAAAAAAAACCCAAATGAAACCTTAAGTACCATCTCTTGCACAGCTCAGGTATGAACAAATTGAGAGGGGGAAAGAGAAAACTGAAAGAGAAAAAAACAGCTGGGAATCAGCAATTAACACACAAGTTTGAACTGAAATTTGCCAATGTGGAAGCAGATGTGCAAAACAGAGAAAAGAAAATACATCAATGGGAAGAAGTGAACCAGACTGCGGGTGAAACAGACACGACACAAACTTTTCCCTCTGTCCAAACATTAGCACAGCTGCACAGTCCTTCCTCACTGCAACAGGATTTCAGAGAGCTCACCCAGTTTTTTAAACTCCTTAAACCTCATTAGGTCTCTTCCAGCCATTTTCCTGATTGAACTGTCTGATATATTCTTCACATGAGGAATAAACTCTTCCAGTTCTTGTCTTGCAGTATCCAAATCCACAACTGAAGTCATGAAAGGGTCCAGGCTTTCTTCACCATCCACGCTGACCTCATCAGAGGCTGCCAACTCAAAAAAGGAATTGTTCTGCTGCTTCTGCTTCTTTTTATGAGATGCCAAGGCTTTTGGTGTCCTGATATATATATTAAAAAAAAGGGCATAAAATAAAATACACCATAGAACTCCAAACCAGAGATGTTCTTAACATCTCTACCATTTAAAGAATGAACATATTTGTTAATTACAGAACAAAAAAATACTTCACACATCCACTGCTTTGCATTTCTAACCTTTTAACATAATTTAGTAATTGTAATTTATTTCCAAATTTCTACACTTGTAATAATCAAGGAGCTTTCTGAAGTTCTGAAAATCCACAGAACTCTCACACATAGGCATAATGAAGAAATAATGCTTCTTGCTAGCACTTGCACACAGATTTTTTACATCTGTCTCTTACTAGTGCTCCTGTTTTGTTTTCTAGACACTGCAAAGGCATCAAGAACTACATACAGGAGCATTTATTTGCATAGAACATTCAATTGTTCAGCTGACCTTACTAGCTACTTGGTTAAAATGCACATGTTCCCCATAAATATCAACTTTAACAAATGAAATCCTTCTCTCTTCCCCTCCCCCCTTTTTTTTAACTGTGAATTGTTTGCAGGTAAGTTATTTCTGTACCTACAGTTTTTAAAGAGGAGAAAAGAGCATGAAGTATTCTTAAAAAATTGTTATTGGATCTCCACAAGAAAACTGAGGTTTAGAAATAGACCTTCAACATCACAAATGCTGTGTAAGTTCAAAGTTTTTCTTTAAAACACACAAAACAGAATGAAGACAAACCTAGAACCCAAATAATATCAAAGGAATCTATTTGGGGGAGTGGAAGAAGGAAAAAAAACCCACAACAAAACCTGAACTTACATCATCTCAGACTCTGAACAGCTTTCTCCTATGACAGAAGTGCTGCTGTTTTTTGCTTTTTTAACATGTGCTGGAATCTTTTTAGCTCGCTCAGATGCTTTATTGGGTGTGGAAAAATCAGCAGGGAGCTCCACGGAGACCTCAGTGATGGCAGAAGCAGCATCAGAGCCTCCATCCTCACCTGCAGGTGCAGGCCACCCCCTGTGCCCCCTGTCCTGCTCTGAGGGTGATGGCAGTGCCTCAGCTGCTTCATCTGGGTCCTCCTGGCCACTGCCCTCTCTCCTCTTCTTCCTCTTCTTTTTGGATTTCTCTTTGTGGCCCGTGCTGTGTTCCTCAGAGGGAGGCAACTCACGCACCTCATGCTCTTCAGGCTGCTTCTCTTTCCTCTTCTTGTGTTTTTTGAAATAAACATAATCAGCAGCACCCTCCTGGCAGTCCTGGTTCACATCGCTGAGCTCACTGGTGCTGTCCTCACCCTTCCTCTTCCTCTTCTTCCTCGGGGAAGCAGCTCCAGCCCCACTGCTGAGCTCACGTTGCATCTTCACAAAATAATTATCCAGCAGAGCCTGCTGCTTCGCACCCTTTTTCTTCTTTGTCCTGCCCTCCCCACCCTGTCCTGCTGCCTCTTCAAAGAGCACTGGGGAAATGCAGCCGAGCTCTTCACCTTCCACAGTTTCAGCATCTTCGTGTTTGTTGTTGGACTCATTCAGTTTCCTCTTCTTCTTTTTCTTCTTCTTGGCAAAATCCTGGGCTTGAAAATCACCTGCATGTGCTTTGCCTTTCATTTTTTTTCTCTAAAGTAAAAGAGAGGAGTTTTACTAAAGTGTTATCATTTTTACACCGTTTTTATTTAAAACGAAACACCCCCCCCCCAAAAAAAAAAAAAAAAAAAAAAAAAACACAACAAAAAGCACAAAACCCACCCAAAATCTTAACTGTTAAAAACTCAGCTTTATCTTGGACTCTTACTTTTTAATCCAATTCCTACTTCCAATCAATTACTTTGGTTCTGTAAAGTGCCTAGGAAAACCTGGTGCCTTCTTTGTCAAACAGATGTGCATCACAGTGCTTCAAAGTGCTTTCCTACAACAAAAAAACACTTCACTAAATTCAGTAACTACTAGCTCTGAAGTTGAATAACTAAGGAACGTCTGACTTGTATGTTCAACTCAGCTTTCAGCACTGAAACAGCAGCAAGCGAAAAACGACGAAGAAATAAGAGGCTCAACAGCACTAAACCCGAAATTCTCTAATCGGAAATTTCTGAGGGGCCGAGCTCAGCCTTGCAGGCAGAATTCAGGCACACAGAGCAGGCAGGAAGCTTTTTTAAGCACATTTTCCACATCCGGCACATACAAAACACTCACCTCCGTGTCACATTCGAAACACCCGCCCTTGAATTTCGCATCCCGGGCATGCCCTCCCCGCCAGCGAGGGGAAGGAGCGGCCGCCGAGAGCTCAAACCACAGCGCGGTTTGTGGGCCCAGACACCGATCAACGAACCCGAGCGCGGGCCCGGCCCCGCCGCTCCTCTCCGGGCTACCGGCGGAGACCCGCAGCGCTCCCGGCGGCCCCGGGCTGTGAGGAACCCACCGCCGCTCCCGGCCCCAGCCCCGCCGGGCCTCCCGTTACCTGCACGCGGTGTCCGCCCCGCCCCGGCCCATCCGCTTCCCCGGCGGAAGCGGCCGCGGCCGGGCCCATCAGAGCGCCGCACCGCCGGTTGCCTGGAGACGGAGGCCGCCGCGAGCTCGGCGGGAGAACCC